ATTACTCAGTGAGATTCCTGAATAGTAAAAATGTTGTATATTGCTTAATTAAAACTGTTGATGAATGTAAATCAAGTTAGTTTGCAAACTTATTTTCAAACTTTCTGATTTTACAGGCATATTAAGCAGAAAAAAAGTACCAAAAATAAGGAATTTTATTTGTTGTTTATCCCAATTATTTTTAAGGATTTTATGAAAATATCCTTTTTGTTTTTTTTATAATGACCATTTAGACTAAAATATATTTATTATTCACAAAAAGAATGTAATATATAGCATGTTTCCTTCAAATTTTATAAGAGAAATAAAAAAACTGGTATTCTGTGGTACTGTGATATTCTGTGGTACATACACCTGTAGTATGGGCCATAGTACAATACATACACCTGTAGTATATCTGTATAAATATGTATATATTCATTTGGGGCCAAAATGTCAGAAATTAGAGAAGGATATGTTAATTGCTTTGTTTGAAACTCACATGTTAAGGGATATGTCCAGATGAAAATGCTTTTTTTTACCAGGAAATACAATAGTTGTACCTTGAAGATGACCAGACTATCAAAGCAAATATAAAGCATAACATTAAGCAGATACTGTATTTGTAACACTGCTAAAGTCTGCTGCACACAAGAAAAACTTGCTGAGCTAAGGCGTGGTGGCAGACAGACAGCTCAGCTACCTGTATATGCATTCTCAATGCACACATTGGGAAATTATAACTACTCAACAAGAACATAATGGATAAAATCATTTGCATTTTTCTCCATTTTGTTCCAAGTCACATGAAGAAACTATGGTTTCTCATTGGCTAATTGATTCAAGCAGCTCGGCACTTAAAGCTTGCAACATACGCAGATGGTGAGATTTTTTCCTCATACTAGATATTTTCCTCAACGCCTCGAGAGGTCATGCAAATCCTCATGAAAACTATCCGCACACGAAAGAAACTATATTTAAATTGCTGAGCTAGCTGCCACACGAGGCAGTTAGCTCAGCAAGTTTCTCCCATGTGCGGCAGGCTTAATTAGCCTCTTTAAAACCTTGAAAACAATTAGTCAATATTTAACTTATCACAGTATTTAAATTTAATTAATAACTATAATCAAAACAACACAAAAAATTACTCTAAAAATAATATAATTTAGCAACTGAAGATTTTGTAAATTAAAAACGTTTTAATACATACCGACATTTTTGTGGAAGCATGACGTCTCACTCGACCTTCAAGTCTGTATGGTTTAATAACCTCGTATGATTTTAAAGTTTTTAATAGTTCAGTATTGTGATTCAGTATATTTTCTGTCAACTTTGCATCTAAATAGTTACAAATTATAAGTAATATATGATCAATCAACTAATGTACTTGAAACTAATTAAGAGATCAAATACAGATATAATGTGGAGAAAGCTAGGATTTCAAACCTATATATATATAAAGCTGGAGTTACACGAGCAACAAAATTGCTGCAACTATAATTGCAACAAAATCTGATGCAACAAAATCTGATGTTGCCTTGTGCTTTACAATTTATGTGTAAATTAACATTTTCAATTAATATGTGTAGAAACTAATTAGATTTTGTTGCAAGTTGCAGCAATTTTGTTGCTCGTACTCCAGCTAATTAAGTTTATGTACGGCTCATTATGTATGTCTTACGTTAATGGATAGTGTTTGTTAATAGTTTCGTACTATGTAATATTTGTAAAGCCCGAATCAAACAAGGCGAGCTAACTAGTGCATGAGAGTTGGCAGTCATGCAAACTTTGCAGCCTGATACATCCTTTCGATAATTATGTCGCACATACTTTTTGGTCTAAGAGCCTCGCTCGCATTAGTAAATTACGCAAGGTGATTGGCTCACAATTCACAAGAGCGAGGCTCCCAGGTCAAATGACGTTTGTAATTATCGAAAGGGTGTATATATTGCTGTTCTTCATGCTGTCCCAACAGACCAATTAACACTTGTATATCATCAAACCTTTATTTTGTTATTAATCTATCGAGCTTGAAATATCCCTTGTTGTATTAACAATTTGTGACTGGCTGACTGCCAGTTCTCATCAACTATCATGACTCACCCCTGTTTGACTGGGTTCTTTGAAAGTTCCTTGCAGTAAAAATGAATAATAAATAATCGTATAGTGTTGGCCTTTAATATTAATTTAAAGATGGATGATATGGTTAGTGAATCATGATATCAACTGCCAAAGAATCAAATGTTTATTAATAAATGCAAAACTCACAAACTACGATATTTCTAATATTCATTAACACATCTAACAGCTCTTAGTTGTGAAAGCAATAATATCGACAAACATTCTGATTAATACGTTTATTTGGTTCATATAAAGTACACAAATTATAATGAAGCTCACCGGTCAAAACGGCCCCAAGTCAAAACGGCTATTGGCCTATTGCATTCAAGGACTAGGTAATTTAGATTGTAAATATTGAACTATGGAGTTATTTGATTCAAATAATCAACTATGGAGTTTTTAATCGACTTCGTCTTGGTGAATATTCCCCAATAATTACCTCAGTCACGGTCTCACCTAATGCGTAGCTGTCATTTCTCGCAATGGATTAATTTCTGTTAATTGTGTAGTAACATAACACTATAAGCATATAACGGAAGCGGGGCCATTTCGACCAATTCAAGCGGGATTTATACTTTCAAGTTTCATCTAGCTTACCTGTTTTAGATCTTAAAATCATCACCAATAAAAAAGTACACCCAACATATACAGTGGAGGCAACTCCCATTGTTGTTGGAAAATATTTCGTAAAGTTGGTTATAAAATACTGGCAAATAAGGAGATGCTGCTAGGTCATCCCGGCTCAGCCTAGCTGTAGGACAACGGTTTTCAACTTGGGGGGCATGTCCCCGAGAGGGGACATTTGGCAAATTCCTAGGGGACACAAACTGGTCTAGGATAGGGATGGGCGATACCAGCTTTTTCATTCGATACGATATTTGCTCGATATTTGCCGGGTTTTTTCCGATATCGATATTTTCCCAACTTGAAATCATTAACAACTGCCACAACGCTAACAATATATAAACATTGAATAATATATGTCAGTGATTGCAACCAACATAACCAGAAACTCCCATCCTTCCCGTGGACCATTATAGCACCATAGAAAATGATGATGCCGCTGACCAAAATGAAAAATATCGCGGGCGCAGAAATATCGAAACATCGATATTTCTTGTCAGTATCGATACTTTTCTTCAAAACCCTGGTATCGA